GGGGGTTGGGGGCAGTTTGCAGGGTGCACGGCAGGGGGGGCAGTTTGTGGCCGCACTCCCCACACACACCGTGTCCAGGGAGGGGACAGGACCCACAGCCCCTGCACGCACGCCCTGCTCTCCACCCGGCAGCACCCCGTGCCAGCACAGCACCCAGCAGACAGTGCCATGCTGGCCCCCCGAGTTGTAGCACTGGCCAAATACGCTCCAGTCCCAGCCCTTGAGAAGCACGGACACAAACAGGACCTGGGGCAGGATGGCAGGATGCAGCCCTGCAGTTTTATTGAACCCGGTGTCACCGGGGTGGGCAGCTCCCATGGCACGGGGCGCCTGGAGGGCCTCATTCATCCCAGGTGTTCCTGTCAGTGTCGATGGACATGCAGTTGTACACGGCGTACCGCAGCAGCTCCTCACAGGCCTTGGCCCTGGAGCGGGGAACACTGGGTCATGATGGGCACTGAGAGCCCCACGCTTCCCTCCCCGTACCTGCCCAGAGGTCCCCTCGGCCAGGACCTGGGGAGCCTGGGAGGGGACCCCAATACCAGCCCCAGGGAGGGGAGAACATCCCCATCCCCTGTCCCCAGCTCGACTCACGAGGAATAGTTGGGCAAGTAGAAGGTGCAGGAGCACGTGGAGGCCTGTGGCATCATGTCCAATGCGTTCAAGCTTGGGAGAAAGGAAAGAGAGTCAGACCCCGGCACGGTGCAGTGACCCCAGCACAGCACAGGACGGACAGACTCACTCTGTTGTTTCAGGGTAGACAGTGATCTGAACCGGGAGGCGGCTCCGGCCAGTGACGAACTTGAGGAAGTGGCTGAGATCCTCTGAGGAGAAGGACAGGGCTCAGGTCTCAGGGACTGGACCATCCCAGTCACTGCGATCGCAGTGGGGTCTGCCCTTGCAGAAGCATCCCGGGAGTGCAAGGCAGAACTAAGGGATGCTCTCAGCATCCCAGGAAGGGCCAGGTAGGACGACCCCAGCCAAATCCCAGGAAAGCACCTGTTGAGCATCCCTGGGGCGCAGGGCAGTGGGTACCCCGTCCCCTGGCCCACCTCACTGCACATGAAGAGCAGGGAAAGGCTTGGGGTCGCTCACCACTGGTGAAGTTGTTGAGCGCCTCCAAGAAGTTCTGGATACGGATGTCGTCGGAGGAAAAGTCCTCAAACGTGACTGCAATGAGGAACACGGAACAGCTTCATTAGAAACTCCCAGCAAAGCAAATTAACACGCGACATGTCCATTCCGCCCTTCTGCAAGAGCCCAGAGTGGAGGCAGAGGAGGAGGAGACCCTCCACTCTCCGTGAGTCCCTGCAAGCCCCTGGCACCCTGAGCGGGGCCGGCACCCTGCACAAAGGCAGGTGGAGAAATGGGGGTCCCAGTTTGTAGGGTGGCCATTCGCCTCTGCTTACAGTTGCCAAGGACCAGAGGGACCAGAGTGCGGACCGGTGGGGTTTGCAGCTAAACCTGAAGCATCCCAGCCCTATCCAGGATCCCTCTGCCTCATCCTCCCCCAGGCTCCCTGACACCTCACAACCAGGGACTCAGGATGGGGCAGGATGCGTGCGCAGGATGAGGATCATCGAGGGGAGCCCCTGCTCACGTGGGGGGTTGGAAGCAGCTTTGGGCTGGCCCTGGCACTTACTGAACCTCCGCAGTTCGGCCACTGTGATCTCAGGGTCCCCGCAGACCACCTTCTCCAGCTGCTGCCAGGTGAGCAGGTCCAGCACAGGCTGGGGCACCACGCGGAGCAGGCCAGCACGCATGGCTGCGATCTGGGGGAGGCACAGGAGGGGTCCCACATCACTGCAATGGGTCTGAGCCCAGGGCAGCCAGCCACGGCACTGGGGGCAGGGACTGCAGGACCCCCAAGGGGGTCCCCGGGGCTCATGGACATCCTGGGCATGGGATGCATGGGGGAACCGCCCAGCTGGAGCTGGTTTTGGGGACACGTTTTCACAGCCACCAACCCCACAGGTACCAGGAGGGCTTGCCACAGGGGCAGGGTCCCCTTAGAGACACCCCAGTCACCTGCTCCTTGCTCTCCTCCAGCCGAGCCTTCTGCACCAGGCGAATGAACTCCTTGCGGTCCTCATAGCGCACCACGGTGCTGCTGCCATTGGGAATCAGCTCCACCATGCGCTGGTCGCTCCGCACCACTGTGTAGGTCAGCTCTCTGCCGAACATGAACTCGAAGGCTTCCCTGTCCACCCCCTCCAGCACCTCCAGCAGCTTCACCTGCAACCCCAATGGGCAAAAGCCATCACGGCCGAGCCGGAGCAGCCACAGGAGCGCACAGCACTGCCCTGCCAGCCCCCGGCCCTGCTCACCAGCTCCGAGTCCACGGCAGCGAAGTCCTTGCTCCAGCTGACCTCCTCCCCTGCCAGCTGCTTCCACACCAGTGCCGGCAGAGACAGCATCTGCCAGAGGGAGCAGAGATGCAAGTCCTCTCCATGTTCCTCCTTCAGCCGAGGGCAGCCCCTCTGCCTGAGACATGGTGGCCCCCACCAAGCTCCCTCGCCAGCCGGGGAGGCTCTGCTGTGCTCACCAGAAACTCCTTGCTCCTCAGGGCTGCTCCCATCAGCTGCCCAATCCACTCGTACTTGGGGAAGTCCTTGCAGGAGGGGTTGGGGACGTACATGTCCCTGGTGTCGCTGCTGCTGTTACCCTGCAGGAGAGAGGCTTGGGACCCATGGACACAGATGTGACCAGCCCAGTATGGTCCCTCTTGCAGCCTCCATCACTCCTCCACCCGCCTCTCCTGCCCTTTACACCCCTCCAGGAGATCTCCACCACCTGGCCTCAAGCACAGCAACCCCCCCGGCCAACAGCCCTGCAAGCGTTGAGACAGGACTAACACCCCAAAATACTGCAACTGAGGGACAAGCCCCCAGGGTCTGCTGGATTTCCCCCTGGGGCCAGGACAGGTGGACAGCGCAATGTCAAACCTGGTTGGAGGTGCGCACGAAGAAGGGCAGGGGCACGGGGACATCACCCGAGCTGGGACACAGCTCCTCCGACACGTCTGACAGGCTATCCCGAAAACCGCCGCCTGCAATGGGGACAGAGGCTGGCTAGTGCCTGACACACTGGGACCAGATGCTGAGCCACAGGATCTGGCCAAGCCACCCCCATCTCTGTGGGGCAGGAGCAGCACTGGGGGCCTAGGGGAGATGTAGGGGCCACCCCACATGTGCAGAGTTGGGCTGCCTCCTGCAGAGCAGCCGGGAAAGTGTGGGTACCCCACCGCAGTGGGTGACCCACCGAGCTGCCCCCCAGCACGAGAAAGCCCAGGGGAGAGCCCCAGCGCTCTCACCATTGTCGACAATGCCCTCGGTGATGAAATCGCACTCCCACCACTGGCTGTAGGTCAGGGGCCACCTGTGGGGAAGCAACAGCCCCATGCACCCGCCTCCTCTGAGAGAGCCAGCAGCACCCGGCATCCCCCTGCACCCCGCTCCGGCGAGGTGACACCCCACAAATGTGACATGAAGACCTACCTGTAGTCCAGGGGCTGATTGTTCTTGGAAGATCTGAGGCCTTCATACAGCTGGAGAGGAGCAGAGTGGAAAGGGGATGAGATGCAGCTGGGGCAAGCGATGCTGCATTGGTAGGTACCTGGCGTGGGGCACGGCATTGCTGTACCTGGGTGAAGACAGTGTTCCTGCAGCTGGGGTCCAGCGCGGGGTTGGCACGGTGCTCCCGGGCCAGGTGCCGGTTGATGTATAGCTTTGGAATGGTTTGAGGGCAAGTGCTCTCCGAGGACTGGAGACAGTGGGCGATGAGGGCTGCACCCTGCTTGGACAGCAGCAGAAATGGCTTCATGC